AACCTACCATTAATATTATAATGGAAAGGGTTTTAGGATCATAAATCTTGGTTAGAAAGATTTCACAAATTCTTTTTGAGTACACAATTCTGTCAAAGGATAATATAAATTAGTTTTCTCCATGTCTGTGTACTGAAAAAAATATGACCTCCAGTTGCAATAGAACTAAATTGTTACAATGCTATCGTGGTTTAGTTTTAAATATTGTTAATCCATTTCCATTTCAATATGTTAGAGTGCTTTAATAAATGTACCATATTTAATAAACTGGCCAGCAATGAATAGCTATGTCTAATTTAATTGCTGGTGTCCCTGATTTGAAATTGTCAGTGTTGAACAAAGGATGAAACTGATTCAATTTTTTTAAAAAAGAATTATTTTTTATATTTGTACAAATCAGAATTCTCTTAGATTAACATATATCAATGAAAATAAAGCCCAACTAAAGCCTCATCTGTTTTTCTCCCCACCACTAAGGCATGCATTTAGACAGAATATAGGCATTACTTTTTCAATAGCTTGGCTTTAGTTGGTATATCTTAGCTTCAGTTGTGGTGGCTGTTTTTAAATAATTAATAAATTTTGTGATTATCTTTTATTTGTTTCATGAGCGTGTATCTGATGGCAAGGAACAGAGCAACCATGTTCCCAGTAATCTTGCTCCTACCTTATCTCCAGTATACCTCATCCTGACCTGAAATACTGTTGCAGTTAAGGTCCTGAGTTTTTCTCCTGTTCAGAGAGAACCAATCGGGCTTAATAGCGTAGTAGTTCTGTGATGTGTCGCTGTATTAATTTAGGTGGAATAAAGGCACCCGAAGAGTCAAAAGTGTTAACAAGACCTTGTCTCTGTCCAACATTAAACAGTTTTTAACAAGATTTGGGGTTTGTATATAGAGACCAAACACACCATTAAAAATCCTTTTAACCCTTCATTAAAGATACAGAAAAGAAGGAAAAACAGAGCATTTGAAATGTAAAGTATTAAATAAAGCCTTCATTGTAATAATGGCCCTTTAACCTTTAGTTGGAGAGAGTTTTTAGAAGGGAAAAAACGCTCAGCTGACAATGTCTCAGATAGTAATTTGTGTCCTTTTTTGGGGGAGGAGTTGAGATAGGCTGGAGCTGCTGCAGTTCCTGCTGCTGTTAAAGTCTGATTCCATTTCCTAAAAGACAAAACAAGATGAACACATGCAAGAGGGGAGAGAACAGAAAAACAGAGATAGAAAATGCACCTTCTGTCTCTGGTATTGACTTTCACTTGCAATCTGACTGCTGGAAAAACACAGGCACAACACACAGTCTTATCAGCTACTGTGAAACCTGGCAAATTTGTACCAGCATCTGGCTGTTACAGGACATTGCTTTTAGCTGTCTTTCTAGTCACAGGCTTACAGCAGTATTGCAGAATACGCAGTCTTGGCTGCCTAAGGCAGACTTTTATTAAACAGAAGGCAAAAGAAGATTGGAAAAAAAAAATTAAGGTGGGGAAGGAAAAGGAAACATTGGGGCGGGGAAGGGGAGAGAGTCTCACATCCCAGGTGGTGTGAAGCCAGTAGAAGTGGCAATGTCACCTGGGTCTCTCTCTCTGGCCCGTTCTGGTCAGGGCAGCTCTCAGGATCAGGATGAGAAAGGCCTGGGGCCCCAGGAGATGGTGGGTCTGGCAGCCATGATGACGAAGCTTGCTCTAGTACTGAGATTCTCAACCTTTTTCTTTCTGAGACATCCCATCCCGCCCCAACAAGCTATAAAAACTCCACGGCTCACCTGTGCCACAATAACTGATTTTCTGCATACAAAAGTCAGGGCCAGTGTTAGGGGGTAGCAAGCAGGGCAGTTGCCCGGGGCCCCTGCAAAGCTACATTGCTCAGGCTTGAGCTTCAGCCCTGGGTGGCAGGGCCCAGGGCTTCAGACCCATGCAGTGGGCTTTGGCTTTCTGCCCTGGGCCCCAGTGAGTCTAACGCTGACTCTGCTTAGCAGGCCCCTTGAAACCAGGTTGTGAGCCCTGGACCGCGAGTTGAGAACTACTGCTCTAGGAGACAATTTTTCTCCCTAAGTCTTTCTTTAAGGAATCAAAAAGGGAGTAGTGGGTGAGCCCATTCCCTCATGATTTTGTCCACCATGGCCTAATTTCTGACACACCAGTTTTTGCTCATTGATTTTTGGTCTCAGTGTTCTTGTTTACAGGCATGATCTTAATATAGTCCTTGAACTATACTAATAGGCCTCAGAACCCAGTACTGCTACTACTCATATCAATAAATACATTTATTTGTTTACATTTGAAAGCCATTTCTTTACTTCTCTTATGTATACTATCTGCTTATTTTTATAATAGATTATTGCTCACTTAAGCTATGTCTGCCTCAGGCTAACGTCTTGCCATTCCTTTATGAGCAGTGCAGCCCCAGCAGTGGTAGCAGTTGTGGAAGCACAAATGCAGATAGAGCACAGGTGCTTTTGCTGTTCTGTTATCTCAGCCCACTCAGAGCAGGTAGTAGTAAAGCTGGGGGAGAGTTCCCCAAACAAGCTAATATAAACAAGGATATAAAGGCTGGAATATGCTTAGCCTCCTTCGTCCACAGAACTTCCTTTTTCTCTCAACCTCAACTGTTCTTCTTCCCAGTTCTCAGCTGAAAAAACAATCTGAAATCCTTAAAAAAAAACCAGTACTGTAGTAAAGACTGTACGCTGTCCCTGTGAACCAAGAGCTCAGCTTGAGCCAGTTCTAATAAAATATGTATATAGGTCTTGATAGAGAACAGAATTTCAACATATACTTACAGTTAAGAATATGCTTAAAACCCTTTCACTTCAAGTTTAAGTGCTGTCATGAATAGGGATACTTTTCTGAATCAGGGCCAAATATGCAGCTGGATCTAATAAGCCATATTTCTAAGATGGAAAATGAAGATTTTACTATTTGGTCGATATGAATTTAATAGTAAAGGAATATAATTTATAAATTACCCCAGCATTTTTATATAGAGAGGCTGGAATAATCAGGTCAATGCTGTTATTAAAATCTGTTCTTAGGGAAAGCCCGACACCTCTCAAGAAATCGGAAGATAATGAATGGGGAGGAGAGAATGAACAAAAAAAATTAAATAAATCTGTTTTGAAAGGGTTTAAAAGTTTGGCAGCAATAATATCTAAAGTGCCAAGGAAAGTGCGGCTTGAAAGAGCTGACTTAGTAACAGAGAGGGGGAGAGAGAGACAGAGGTGGTGTGATGGTTGTGACATGCTGTTTTGCCGTGAAGGAAGAGTACAGCAGCTGAGGCAGCAGGTGGCAGCAGCTTCCCCTCAAAACAAAGTGGAAATTGAAGCAAGCAAAATTAGCAGCAGCTAGCTGTATGGCAGCATTCTCCACTGTAATGCCATTTTGTCTGTTCTGTAGAACTTCTGTAAAAGAAGTGCTCAGTTGGCATACAGCTGCCATCTGGTATGTGAACAGATTGCATCTTAGAAAAAGGGTGTTCTTGCTTCTCCGTTTCCCCAGAGTGTGCATCAATGTATATGAAGCATCTAAATTCATTTTACAGGATGGAATTTCATGTATCAAACTCTGGATCTGATTTAACAAAGTTTGTTGCCAATTTTTGTTTCTGGGCCTTAATCTAAGCTGTGTTCTGCCATCATTCCCTGAGTATATTTTAAAATGGAGATTGACAGCTGTTTAGACTGTCAAGACTCTGTATAATAAGATGATAAAATTATGCACAATTTAAAAAATACATAAATCAAAATGGTAACTGCAGCCCAGAGACAACAGGTCAGACATGAATTCATGTAGTGGAAACTGTTCTGTTTGACTGTTGATTATTTCAGTACATACACTTAGGGTTTGCCTCCATGGGGACTTATTCGTGAGGTGAATTTAACTCCCTATGCAGACCCTTCTACCAGAATAAAAGAGTGCATTTTTGTTTGTTTTAGCTTATGTTGCTTTGGAAGCAGTTCAAGCTAAACTGAAAAAAGTACCCTTATTCCTGAATAAGAGTGTTCACATGGGGAGTTATATCAATTTAGCTATTGCAGTTTAACTGTGTAAGTATATCTGGAAAAATCTCATGTTTTGACAAGCCCCTAGAATGAAATGTAATTCCTCTGCATAAAATTTGAGTAAATTTAGGGGAGAAGGGGCAGTGTATAAGGGGAGGGGGGACCAAAAATCCACCAGAATCTACCAACCAGGGCTCCAGCAGTTCTCCTTTGTCCCAGCTGGCTGCTGCTTTGGCATACGGTCACTGCAGTTCTTCCACACCACTTGTGTGGGGTTGATTGGAGACACATAATACGGAATCCCGTGGCTCCTTCCTTATCCTACCCTAAACTCCTCCACATGCAGGACTGTTCTAGTTGTACTTCCCCAGAGCCCTGTGGTAAGAAACAAATTTAAGGATGTGCTAAACCTTCCGTACCAGAGGGAATATCATTCCCTGAAGAACAGACCTATTTGGGACAGTGGGTTGCACAAATGTGAACGAGGGCAGAATTTGTCCCACTTGGACTAAAGCCCTAGGAACAAATGTGGAGATCCCATTGAAATCCTCAGGATCTACATGTGCAGATCCAGAGGAAAAATCTGCCCCTTAATATTCAGAGTAGAGATCTAAGGTGTTATTTGGTTAACCTGACCCCATATGGGGTCAGCACCATGGCCTTCACTGTCCTGATTGCCATTTCCAGGTGTGCCACTTCTTTGGATGTGGTAATTTTTTTTTTTTTTTAAGTTTCAATACCAGAACTATTCATTAAAAGTTCTGGCACATCATTGCCATAAGCACTCCCAGAAATGATATTTTTATAAATACAAGGGGGAAAAGGGATATCTCTGAATGACAAGCATTTTATTACCAAAGCATCATGATCTAATGTGCAAAGGAGTTTTTTTCAGAAGGATCTGCCTAGTCTTACTGTGTTATATGTAGTATTTTAAAATAATTTTAATCATCGATCACCTTTAGGGGACTTTCAGTTAAAACTAATTTCTGTTTTAGACCCAAAACAGAGTCTGCCTGGATATTTGCGAAGTCTAATGCAATACAAGCCATTGGGGTGATGTCATTTGGTAAGTGTGTGTGTGTGTGTGTCTGAACATCTCTTCTCAATCTGCAGTCAGCCCTAATGGTTTAAATAATTTTACTTTACGATTGGACCTGCATGGCATATGCATTTTCCTTTTAAGTTTTTACCATAGTGTTAAGCTGGTTTAGGCAAAATTAGAGCTAGCCCTAATCTTTTTCCATTAGCCAGAATTAAACCTTTATTCAGGTTTGGATAAATATCCTCTGATATGCATAGTCCCCACTCTAACTTCTATTCCCACTGTTCTGATATCCCTCTGTAGGCTCTAGTGTGCTGATACTCTGGGGTCTTCCTATTGTTTGTTACTGCACAACATGCCTGTCGTCCCAGAGTGGGAAATGTCACATCCTCTGGATTTTTTCATCTGTACATTCTGGGGCACAGTTAACAGAGAAGCCCCAGACAGGATCAAGTGGTAGTTTAGGCTCCAGAAATCTAAGTAGTTGTTGTGGGTCATGGTGTAAACCTGAGGGGAGCACCAGAAGGAGGCACTGGACATTGAAGTGGAATTGTGAGCAGGAAGCTGTGTCTGGGGTTGGCAGGGGAGAGCCAGGTGGCATTGTAGGGGATGAGAAGTCAGAATCATACGGCTGAGTGGAAGGCGGAGACCCACGTAGAATGAGATAAATATCCAAAATGTGAAGTCGTTTGATGTTTGCCATGCACTGCATCCTTCATTTGTATTTATAATAATGAATTGATTTAAACTGTGCTATATTTTCCTGCCCTGGAGTCCACAAGCTTAGCATGGTACAAAATTTTTATTTTTAATGAAACGTATGTTTGTTTTTTAATTGCCATGTGTGTTTCAGCATTCGTTTGCCATCATAACAGCTTTTTAATCTATGGCTCTTTGGAAGAACCCACTCTGAGTAACTGGTCTCGCATCACTCATGTGTCTGTCTCACTCGCTCTGTTTATCAGTGTGCTGTTTGCTGTATGTGGATATGTGACATTTACTGGTTACACAGAAGGTAAGATACTCTACACATCTATTTTTAAGGCTTGGCCTTCTGATACTTTCCACCCTTTTTGTTTGAGTTCAGTTAACTCCCTGCAGGATAGAGAGAAGAGGAAATGCCAAGCTGATCATTGTCTTTTTATTTAAACTTGAAAAGGAATGTCTGGGATTTATCCTTCTTACTTAATAGTCAAAAAATATGGGAGTGGGGTGAGAAGCCAACCCAGGGCCTATGCGCTTGTGGAAGATGGTGTAGACCCAGGAGCAGAGCCCTGCTGGTGGAAAGTCCACACCAAGGAGAAACATTAGCACAAAACTGCTTCCTTTTGTTGGAAGGATTGTATGGGATTAGTAAAGCACAAAAATAAACAGAACTGCCCAGGAGTAGAGCATGGCCAGAGTGGATGGGGAAATATGATGAGTACATATAAAAGCTTAAATAGTTTCCACACATCCCCTCAACACGCTCTGCTGGCAGTGCTCTTATAGTGGCTAACAGAGCTGTTTCCCATGCGCCCAGCAGAATTTTGACGGAGTAGAGCAATGATACTTCCATCATCTGCACTCCTTCAGGATGAAATTGCCCTGGAGTGCAAGTGGTTAAGGTGCCACTAACTGGTATGACTGACACACACAAATCTCTGTGGAAGTTGCTGAGGGGGAAAAGAGACATTCTGAGAGAGTGAAGGGGGGGGAAGTCAGCTTCCCTTCTAGCAGCGAGGAGAGAGGGAGGTTGGTGTGTGCAGGGAGCAACTTTCTGTCTAGTATTCCTAAAAACATACCGTCTTTTGCCTTGAGGATCCTCTATCTAAACAGGGTTTAAATTTTTCATTTTTCACAACTCAGGTATGTACTTTCTTTGAAACTGCAGCCTAGATTATTAATGTCAGAAATGTACCATAGGGTTCTCGCTGTCTTTGAAACAGATTTCACTCTCTCTCTGTCTTTGGGAATGAATGGGAAGAGGGAGGTAAGCATTAAGGGAGGAAGAAATTTGTTAAATACATCATTGTTTCTCAAGTCAGCCAAACAATTTTAGAGACATTTCTTCAGTGGTTTCACAATTCTTTTACGGTCCAGTTTAAAGCTGTAAGAGAAGGTTTATCACCTCATCTTTTTGTGGCAGACAGCAGCATTTAGCTATGCTTGGAGCAGGGGATTTTCACTCCCTTCCTCCCCCTCCTCCCCACATTTGTTTATCCAGGAAAGCAATGTACTCTAGTCATTGCTTATACCCATCTTTCTAGCTGGACTGGCTGAGTACAGAATGACTAAAAATATATATTTCAGGACTGGGAAAATCATACTTCTCATTTTGTCTGTGTGTGTGTATATATATATATATATATATATATATATATACACTATACACTATAGTATATTATACACTAATTCCATCTCATCATCCATCTTTTTCACCAGTTCCCTCAATCTCTTCTTTCTCCAGAACAAATCTGGTTGTTTCTTGAGCTCTACTGGACTCCTAAAAGTAGCAAGTCATATATAGTATAATGGAAATCAGAGGTGGAAATCACCTGGTAGGCCATGTAGGTATAGTCTTAAGATTTGTTCATGTTCCATGGTAAGTTAGTCATTCAGCCTGAACTCGATCCCATGGTCACCTTTCCCCAGGTCCTTTGCTATAATCACTAGGTAAGGTGTTTACTTGAATTGTATAGCAGTATAGTAGTAAACTGATGCAAAAGGAATTACCAGTTAATAATCCATATGTTTACATAGGGCTTTGAATGTTTGAAATCCCCCAGTATAGTGTTGCAGCTGAGATTAGATCCTGTAATATGATACACAGGAACTTCAGCTCTCTAGCTGTACCCATCTAGTCTTCCTTATGTGATTGTTCTTGTCCTAAGAATAACAAAAAGGAAATCTGTTTGTTTTAACCAAATGTTTTTCTTTCTAAAACTGTGTCACATACCGATTAAAAAAACAAACAAACACCAGAAGCACCTTTACAAAGTCATCTAAAAAAGAAAGCTGCAAAAAATAGGATGACAATAGGCTTAACCCTGTAATATGTGTATGATAGATACGTAAATACTCAAATGGAAATGATCTTGAGAACACACGAAATAATAGAAAATGCTGTTACTGTTGGGGTCGTGAAAGTTAATTTTGAATGTAATTTGTGATTATCTAATCATCATTTTCTGATTTATGTCTCCAAAAGTGGGTCACAAAATCTCAAGTTTTTGTGTACAGTTATTCTGGTGATTTATCTATTTGCATAAGTGTAAATGTCAACTAATAATTAGCCACAGTTGTCATTAATTTGAAATAATTTAATTTTTCACTGTTCTCTAGGAGATATATTTGAAAACTATTGCAGAGACGATGATCTTGCTACATTTGGAAGGTTTTGCTATGGAGTCACTATAATCCTGACTTTCCCCATTGAATGTTTTGTGACTAGAGAAGTGAGACATTTATCTCTTTTTCCATGATGTTTTAATCATATGATTAATCTGTAAATTATATGGAGAGATCTGTCCTAATTGCAATTATTGACTAATCTTATGTAATTATTAATACCTAATGGTCTGGTGCATGCTAGCTATAGCATTTAGTGGGCTTTTTCTTGTGATTTCTTAAACTTAATATTGTTTTCTTGAATACTGCTGCTTAAATTCTCAGTATGGTGTAATGGAACTGGCATGTAGTGAACTCCAGTGTGGTGACTCACAAAGTATAGTATGCAGGAGGTGGTTGCAACTGATTGGGGCAGCAGATTTATAGTGAAGTAGAGGGAAAGTCCTGGAATGTTTCACTGTACTGTAATTGATTAATGGGAAATCTGTAGGAAATCTTTTCTTTTCATAAATGACTTCATGGTAAGAAGGTTTCACTGTGTTTATCAGGTGAATGAGAAGAGCACCACTATGTCTTGAAAATATAGCAAAGTCAAATGTTGGGGTTTTTTGCATAATTTTAATATGAAACAATGTCTGGAAAAGGAGGGACACCTCTCACTGAAGTCAAGAATTTGAGATGGTTGAGAGCCATAACATTCTCACTGTTCCTTTCAGTTGCATTATAAATCATAGCATATAGAATTTAAAACATGCTGCTTGTTAAAATAAATAAAGGGCCAAAGTAAAGTTGCAAACTGTGTTTTCATTTCAGGTAATTGCCAATGTGTTTTTCAGTGGGACCCTTACTACCATTCTCCATGTTGCTGTGACAGTAATTGTTGTTGCTGTAGCCACAAGCATATCTTTAGTGTATGATTGCCTTGGAATAGTTTTAGAGCTGAACGTAAGTGAACGTAATGCTCCATTATTTACTAATCACTCTTTAATATAAATGAAATTCTGAAAAATGACAGTATTCTTTTAAATGTAACATAGTGTAGTGTTAACAGTGTCACAGAAGGAAAGGAATTATTTACCTCCTCAGAAGTTAAGATAAAAGAACAATGTCCTGAAGCTAAGGAAGAAAAGTTCAGGCTGGATAGTCAGAGGACTTTCATAACCTTCAAGAGTAAATCTACAGTGAAATAGACTTATCAAAGGATGTGGCTGATGGCTATGGGCCATGACTACCAGTAGTTAAGTACAAATTAGATAAGACAGTGGAGTATAACGGGACCTGTTAAAATGTTGACACTTGTTAGGAAATTGTTAGAGTTACTGTAGTATTACAGGTATCTCACATTGAGTCACTACATCCTCTAGCCATGGCCCTGCCCCAGGTAGTGCTGCTGACTTTTGAGCCTGGATTTCTGTCAGGCTCCTGGCAGAAGGGCAGTTGCAGCCAATTTCTTCCACTACTATTGGACTTTCCTTTGCACTTGAGCCACCACCACCGTCTTCACTATGGGAAGGCCAGAGTGTGGGGGATCCAAAAAATGACCTCATAGGAGGGAAAATATATCTCTTGCAAAGTGCCATCCCTAAGACTCTGAAACTGCCTCAAATTGAAGGCAGAGGCTCCAAAACCGGGAATTTAGTTTAAAGACAGATACTAAGGTTTTTCTTGTCTTTAATACTTACACAACACAAAGTGTTAAAGACTGTGTAACAGAGTAGCTTGCCCATTAAGTGAAACTGGCCTCATCACTCTTGTTCCAGGCCAAGTGTTCCCAGATGGGCCAATTAAGAGGGCAGGGCAGCATTTGGGGACCAATAAGAGTCCTGGTGAGATCTAGTGAGAATCAGAGCAGACTAAGTGAATCAGGAGCAAGGTAGGAGAAGACAACTGCCAAAGAAAGGAGGTGCTTCCTGGGAGAAAGCTAAAGGTAGGAGAGCAGCAAGAGGGATTTGCTGGCTGGTGTCTCCAAGCCAAAGAGCTAGGAACAGATGGCTGAAAGGAGCAGCAGCAGCAGCAGCAGCAGCAGCAGCAGCAGGGAGTTGCCTGCTGACCCTAAGCCAGAGCCAAGGGCCAGAGAAGGCTGAAAGAAGGGAGAGCAGTGGAGGGGCTTACCCACTGGCATCTCCTTGTTGGAGAGCTGGACCAGAGGAATGGTAAAAGGAGAATACTCCCAGCAGAGAGGCTGGGGGAGTCCCTGCTGGAAGGAGCAGGGTTTCACCCCAGAAGGAAGAGGAGTTTTATTTACATTGGGGTGATATGGACTATGTTTTGGGATATATTATGGAATACTTACACCATGTTTGTAAATAAATTGTTTGGGACTAGAAGATAAACTTGCATGGAGTTACTGAGGACTCAAAAGTGTGGGGTCTTTTTTGTTTTGTTTTTGTTTTTAAATAATCTTCCATATAAGTAAGGGTTCCATAAATATAATAATGTTGTCCCTTTTAGCCCATGCAGTTAGCCAATATCTGAGTCCTTGCCAGGTTGTTTCCATTGGGAGAAGAAGCTGAGAGATGAGTTTGGTATCTCTTTGTGTACATTTTTGTAAATAAACAAGATTATATCAAAGTCCTGTTTCCCTGAACATAGTAGAAACAAACAGGAAGCAGTTTCTTTGTTCAGAAAGCCTAGTCTGCCTTCTCATTGAGTATTATGCCTAAAAGAATTTCTGTCTCTTGACTTCCTCCCAAGCACTATGATCACCACCGCTTCAATTGCTGTCAGCTCACTTTCTCCCTGCTTTCTGCTTCTTTTAATCCAAACACAGATATAGCTGCCAATAAATCAATTCCCTGTGTTTGCAGTCAGACTCTAGGAAAACCCCGTGGGCACAGGGTGTAGCTTCTAGGCCTTGCCATGGTTGTCCATGACTTGGGCAATTGCTTCTGTTGTTTCAGCTATCACTAAGCAAAAGGGCCATTTAATTGCTCCATCATGTAGCCTGAATGAACTTCTACTTGGTCTGTAACTGATGACTGCCAATAACACTTCCCAGCATGACAATATAAGTAACAAGAAAATACAGATGAATGAAACAAAGACACATTAACGTATGGATTTACCTCACACCCTGCACTCTCCATAATCAACAAATTTATGGGTTGCATTAACTGAAATTAATGCAAACTACTCATAAAGTGTGTGTAAGAAGGTGACAAGTTCCAAAATCATGCACAGAAATGCAGAGCTCTCTGATAGCAAATGATGCATGGCTGCAACAATATTTTAGCCTGCACTGGTGCTTTATTAAGAAAATACTTCATCACACGCTTAACTCCGTACCTATCCAGGACAGCACTTAAGCATGTGCTAGACGTTTAGTTAGTTTCCTTAAAAGTTCAGCACATGTGTCATAAATGTAAAGGGAAGGTAACCACCTTTCTGTATACAGTGCTATAAAATCCCTCCTGGCCAGAGGCAAAACCCTTTCACCTGTAAAGGGTTAAGAAGCTAAGGTAACCTCTTTGGCACCTGACCCAAAATGACAAATGAGGAGACAAGATACTTTCAGATCTGGAGAGGGGGCGGGGAACAAAGGGTTTTTCTGCCTGTGTGATGCTTGTGGTGGGAACAGATCAGGAATGCAAGCCTTACAACTCCTGTAAAGTTAGTAAGTAATCTAGCTAGAAAATGGGTTAGATTTTCTTTGGTTTAATGGCTTGTAAAATAAGCTGTGCTGGAGGGAATGTATATTCCTGTTTTTATGTCTTTTTGTAACTTAAGGTTTTGCCTAGAGGGATTCTCTGTGTTTTGAATCTGATTACCCTGTAAGTATTTACCATCCTGATTTTACAGAGGTGATTCTTTCCCCTTTTCTTTAAATAAAATTCTTCTTTTAAGAACATGGTAGATTTTTCATTGTTCTTAAGATCCAAGGGTTTGGGTCTGTGTTCACCTGTACCAATTGATGAGGATTATTATCAAGTCTTCCCCAGGAAAGGGGGTGTAGGGCTTGGGGGGGATATTTTGTGGGAAGATGTCTCCAAGTGGTATCTTTCCCTGTTCTTTGTTTAAAATGCTTGGTGGTGACAGCATACTGTTCAAGGACAAGGCAAAGTTTGTACCTTGGGGAAGTTTTCAACCTAAGCTGGTAAGAATAAGCTTAGGGGGTCTTTCATGCAGGTCCCCACATCTGTACCCTAGAGTTCAGAATAGGGAAGGAACCTTGACAACATGCATAACTGTTGTCCTGAACAGGGATGGTTTCCTGACTCGGGGTCTGTGTTTGGAGGCATTGCTCAACAATATTGTTCTGAGCAGCTGCTAGGAGCAAGTTAAACTGCTGCATTGATGTTTATCATGCACAGGGAGCTTTTCTTTGTTTTACTGAAAGGTAAAAACTTTAAGGAAATCCAAGTAGGTGTTTTGTGATAGTGCATGAAAGAACTATAAGGATTAATGAATAATACTGCCCCTTTACATTTTTTCTAAAAGCCTGTGAGGAAATGTTCCTAAATATTTCATATGATAAAATATTTCAAAGCTATTCAAAATGTGGGATTTACTGTACTTCTGGAGCTGACATTTTTCATGTAATTTTGGCTTAATAGAAAGCAAGTTCATGTAGGGTAAAATTTCACCCTGTTACAGTAAAATGAGTAAGTTGTAACTGTTTCCTTCATCCTGAGACATTTCAAATTATAGTGCAGATTCCTTTGCAGTCTATTTGGGTTTTGATGATTGAAACCACCCTGAAGAAAAGCTACTATTCTAGTTTCATTTCATAGGAAACTTTTTGCACAGATCTAATTACAACCATTTAACTATAAACTAATTATAAATGTTTGTTTTGTGCTGGAGATGTGAATATGTGCGCTTATGGGTTTTTTTGTTTCCTCCTCCCAGGGGATTCTCAGTGCTACGCCACTTGTTTTTATCATCCCAACAGCATGTTATCTGAAGCTGTCTGAAGAGAGATGGAACCATTCAGATAACCTAATATCCGGCCTGATTCTTACTGTTGGTGTGTTAGTGATGACAGTTGGATTTGTTATGACTATCTTGCATCCCCAAGAATGTAGCCATGGAAAAGAAATGTTCTACTGCTTCCCTCATAATGCCTCTCTTTACAACAGTACACTTCCGCCTTTTTAGCTAACTTGCCAGTTCTGAGTCTAAAGGGCCTGTCAGTCAGTCCATACTACTTTAAGTATGACTGGGACAGAGTCCTCTTATGTTTTCATACTGACTAAGAATCTTAAACTGTACACTATATTTGTGTATCGTGTTTTATGCTATTGTCTTTTTCTAGATGAGAATTAAGCTTTGACTTTTAAGATTGTGAAATGCTTTAAAGTGCATTACATCAAACCTGACTATTCAGTAGAGCCTCACTAAATTGGATGAATAACTCAAAAATCAATGCTAAGGATGTAATTTTGCAAATTAGTAATCAAATACAATTAAAAAACATAGATTAGGCATCTCAAAGCCCTGGTCTACACTAGGACTTTAGGTCAAATTTAGCAGCGTTAAATCGATGTAAACCTGCACCCGTCCACACGATGAATCCCTTTATTTCGACTTAACGGGCTCTTAAAATCGATTTCCTTACTCCACCCCGACAAGTGGATTAGCGCTTACATCGGCCTTGCCGGGTCGAATTTGGGGTACTGTGGACACAATTCGACGGTATTGGCCTCCGGGAGCTATCCCAGAGTGCTCCATTGTGACTGCTCTGGACAGCACTCTCAACTCAGATGCACGATTGTTTGCCGTTGCTCTGATGCAGGGAGGGGCGACTGACGACATGGCTTACAGGGTTGTCTTACAGGGAGTTAAAATCAACAAAGGGGGTGGCTTTACATCAAGGAGTATTTCAGGCAGGACTTCACGGCGGGTTCCAATAAGAAATGGTGCACCTAAGTTATTGTTCTTATTGGAACAAGGATGTTAGTCTGGCCTCTGATTGATACATGGCTAGATTTACCTCGCTGCACCTTCTCTGTGAGTGACTGGAGTGTGACCTAGAGGAATGAGTCCCCTAGACGGGGGTGGGCGGAGGGTTTGCAAATGAGTACAAAACAAATCTGGTCTATTTCTTGTTTTGATACACTCCATCTATCTTTTACATCTTTGGCTGGCAGCAGACGGTGCAGAAGGACTGCATGCCATCCACATCTCATGGCTGCTCGGCAGAAGATAGTACAATAGGACTGCTAGCCAGCCTCATCTCTTGCCTGCCCGGCAGAAGATGATGCAATAGGACTGCTAGCAATCCGTATCACCTGCCTGCTCACCATAAGACGGTTCAATAGGACTGACTGCAGGACTAAAGAGAATGACCTGGTCAAGTCACTCCAAATTTAGTCCCTGCGCCCATGTCTGCCCAGGCGCTCCTGATCGACCTCACAGAGGTAACCAGGAGCACCTCGGACATGACGATGACGGCTACCAGTCCTATTGCACCGTCTGCTGCCACAAGGCAATGGGTTGCTGCTGCTGTGTAGCAATGCAGTACCGCGTCTGCCAGCACCCAGGAGACATACGGTGACAGTGAGCTGAGCGGGCTCCATGCTTGCCGTGGTATGGCGTCTGCACAGATAACTCAGGAAAAAAGGCGCGAAACGATTGTCTGCCTTTGCTTTCACGGAGGGAGGGAGGGAACGGGGGCCTGACGATATGTACCCAGAACCACCCGTGACAATGTTTTAGCCCCATCAGGCATTGGGATCTCAACCCAGAATTCCAATGGGCAGCGGAGACTGCGGGAACTGTGGGATAGCTACCCACAGTGCAACACTCCGGAAGTCGACTCTAGCCTCGGTACTGTGGAAGCACTCCGCCGAGTTAATGCACTTAGAGCATTTTCTGTGGGGACACACACACTCGAATATATAAAACCGATTTCTAAAAAACCGACTTCTATACATTCGACCTAATTTCGTAGTGTAGACATACCCAAAGTGTACTTTCTCTAGTCCTTTAACAAATGGAGTTTTAGTTTTAATTACTTTTGGTAACTCTTCACAGAATACTAGTAAACGTACTCTAGTATATTTTCTAAAAGCTCTGAAACTATATTATTAAGAGACCTAACCATAGCACTCTGCTATTAAATTTTTGCTGAGAAGTGGGGATAGCCCTGTGAATGTTGTCTGTGATTTGTAGTGTATCTAGTGTATTAGAGTGAAAATCACCTTCGGGCAGAGGGCCAATTCAAATGCAAGACTTGTGCATTTAAATACTCAAAATAGGGTTTAAGTGGGATTTTTGTTGTGCCCAGACTGTGTTGGTTCTCTATTGAATAGTGAATTACAAGGTTGTTTGCTGTGTTTTTATTAAAAGGATTTTATATGAATAAAATAGCATTGGTATTTTTTAAGATGACTCGAAGAGATAGCCTGCTTTTAAAACCATCACTATGAGATTGACAGAATAGAAATTGTAATTTACAGGAATCATAATTTACCTTAAATTAATAAGTGAACTTATTGCTTATGAAACCTGATGGTGATAATGCTGTAGTTTCAGCAGGTGCTGTCTGATATTCCCCATGGAGTTCTGCTAGTGAACTGAAATCTCAAATTCCATGTCTCTTCAGTACATTCCATTTGTTCAGCAGAACTCTACCCTGTCTGAAACAAATGGCAGAATCCTATAAATGCCCAAGCGCACTTCCACTTAGAGGGTTTATATCAAGGTCGATAGAAGACTAGTCAACTAAGAATTCACTTGTAAATAATGTGAAGGATGAGCCTGGCTCCCCATTTTATTGCTGAGCACTTGTGTTTTCCATCCAGATCAAATAGTTTGATCACCTTCTTGGCTCAATCTGTGTTTTCATTATCTTAAGGTCTTTATGCTACCTCAGCCAGAGATGCTTTGATACTGCTCAACACTTTCAAACCTCAATGCATAAGTTAGGTTTTGAAATCCATATCTAGACAGCTAAACAGGAGTGGTCTGATTTTCAGAATTGCTGAGCCCACCTGCAAGTCCCATTGACTTCAAAAGAAAACCAGGTGACTTCTGATCAGGATGTAGGACCTAATTTAGGCATCCAGGTTTGAAAATTTTGCCCACTGTCCTTATTGCTTGAAAAACAATTTCAATCAAAACTTTTAACCCACAAGTTTACTATTATGGTAGAAGGCACTAGATGTTGTTACACATAGTTTTACAAGTTGTTTTTCTTATTGTGTGAGCACTGTTCAGTCTCTGAAGAAATCTTTATACTGTAGTTAATTTTGTAATGTAGCTTCTTTGTGGGGAAGGTGGGAAGCTGTTGAAAGAATCAGGGGAGTTTACACACTGCCTTAAGCTCCCTACCCAGAGTTGATTTTTAGGACAGAATTACTCCATGAGAGCCAGGTATTGGTGTTTTGGCTGAAATTACTGAAGAGAGGAATTGCCTACATGCTTTTGTGACCTACCTCTATTCCTGGACTGCTGTATAGAGTGGAAATAAATAAGTTGCACTAAGAAAATACACATCCCCAGTGTTGCTCAACTTGAAAGGCCCTGACTTCTGCTATCTCTTGGCAAAGAATGACTTTATGTATCTTAGCAGTTTAGATTCTGCCCTATTGCTAAATTTGTATCTGATTTTGTTTAGACTTTTCAATAAAAGGAATGTTCTCTGTTTTGTCATCTTGATTCCCTCAGCACCCAATTCATTATACTCAGGTAGTTATTGCCTGCTTTGTATTCCCTCAGCCTGCTGCTGATGAAAAGCTTTTAAGTCAGCAGTTACCGGTATTTATTAATCTTTCTATCATTTTTGTGTGCTCAGTTATTCTTTGCTTGCCTGAAGAATTTAATAGCTTCAGTTTAAAAAGAACTGATGGGGAGAATACATACCCATATTCCATTTCTGATTTGCTTGTTCATGTATCCAGTCAACAGATTGCTGGATATGATGCTGCCGTGGTATCCTGTTTATTTTAATGGTGTCCTGATGACACTGTGCTAATATGATATGAGACTTAATGTATTTAACATTTACAAAAAGTAGAAAATAAATAGCTTTGTGATGCTTAGCAAGTTGACCAGTAAAAACTGTTAAATGTCCATGTTGGTAACAAAACTACAAAAAGTCTTCCCCTCTTACCGCCCCCCCCCCCAATAAAGGGGCATATTACTGTGTACAGCTCAGTTTTTACTTTAGAAAAAGAATATATCTGAAGTTGAGGTTCTCCCAGGCATAAAAATACTAAGCAAGGAAAGTCAGATGATATGGATGCCATAATTTAAAATTAAGTACTGTTCTGCTAATAGCTTTACACAAACTACAATTCCTTCTTTTCCTACACTATACACTTATCTGTATCGAAGCTGTGCAAGTAATGAAATACTGTGACCCATGAATTCAGATTAGTAAAAGGGGCATTATTACCACCTTTGACCCAAAATGTCACACTGCATAATGTTATCAACTGACAATACAGAATATTGATATGATGTGATTTAACACAAGGGAGAATTATGAAATAGATTCCTGCAGTAATCCTGCAACATGCTGAACACCTTTGGTAAGGTACTAAGTGCTCTCCACTTCAATTGACATCTGCTTATTGTAGGATTGGGGCCATCAGTCATTTCCCTAAAGTCACTGCAGAAATTCTGTAGTATAGTCTATCTGCAGTTAATATGGATACCAGTTACAGGGTGGGGGACCCTGTTCTGGGAAGCAATGAGTCTGAAAAAGTTTTGGGGTCATGGTGAATAATCAGCTGAACATGAGCTCCCAGTCTGATGCTGCCCTCAAAAGGCTAATGCAATCCTTGAATGCGTGAACAGGGAAATTTCTGTATGAGTAGAGAAGGTTTTTTCTTCTGTGTTTGGTACTGGTGTGACCATTGCTGGAATACTGTTGACACCAGAAGTGGACACAGTTCAAGAAGGATGTTGACACGTAGAGGATTCAGAGAATAACCACAGGAATGATTTGAAGGATGAGAAAATATGCCTTTTAGTAATAGAGCCGAGAACCTCTATTTATTTAGCTTAACAGAGAAGGTTAAAGGATGACTTGATTACAGTCTATAAGTATCTACATGGGAACAAATATTTATGGCGCTCTTCAGTCTAGCAGAAAAAGGTATAACATGATCCAAGGGCTGGTAGCTGAAACTAGGTAAACTCGGACTGGAAATAAGGTGTACATTTTTAACAGTGAAGGTAATTAACTACTGGAACAGCTTTGGTAAATTATCCATCACTAGCAATTTTTAAATCAAGATTGGATTTTTAAAAATATATGCTCTAGGAATTATTTTGGAGAAATTCTACAGCCTACATTCTACAGGAGGTCAGATTAGATTACCACAATAGTCCTTTCTGGTCTTGGTATCTATTTATATGGTCCTCTCCGAGCCATGTCCAAATCATGCTAAATTTCTTGCATGTTTCCAAGATTTGACGTCTCCTCTCTGATTAAGCTGCAGAAACTTTCATCCAAGCCTTGCTCATTTTGTGGTTTAACTACTACAACCTGTTCCTTTCCAACCTCAACTACTGTCACTTTGCCCCACTCAAGTCCATTGAAAATGTTGCTGTCACTCTGATCATCTCACTAGCCACTTCCTGTCACACCAGCGACACTCGCTGTCTTCTACCACATCACACACAAACATTTTGTGCTTGACTTCAAAGTTTTTCCCAATCAAGCCTTACTCTACCTATCTGTTTTAGCTGACTGTGAGGTAATCTTTGGTCTGCCAAAAATACCAGCCTTGGTTACCGACTTCTCCCTCTCTGCTGCTTCACAGGTGTAAGGAAATCTCCCTGCTAAAACATGCAAAGCTACCGCAGTATCAATTCCCAGTGCTTAGTAGTAACATTGCACAAGGAGACTAATTTAATCCATACTCAAATGCTAAAGCAATTAGCTTACAATTAAATTTATCCAGCAATGAAAGGAATACCACTTAATAGTTAATTATTAGTTTTCTTTTGTTCTATAAGGCAGTACCTTTCTGATGAGCTGGTCAGCTTTGCCAGAAGCATAGAGAAGGATTTTGTAATGTGTGCAGAATAAACATGAACCACAAAAATGTCAGTATGGTTACTTGGTTTGGTTTTTTTAAACCCTACCAGCACAAACCAGTAGTATCTGCTACAAAATGGCATGAAGGGTAGTCAACTCTACAGTTTTAGAGAAATGGGTATTTCCATCCAGTTATTAAATGAAATCAGGTTAACACAGTTGGAGAATGGATAAATTTTTAGCTCATTATATTTCAATGCCCCAAGGCAAACATCCAGTTCCTCTAATGGGTATTGTGGTGTCTCATCTGAGAGACCTGGTCTGCTGGACCATGTATGTATTGTCAGTATAAATGTCTGGTAGTATGTGAAATGTGTTGTCAAACTTTGTCTAATAGAGATTAATTCAATGTAAAGTTAAAGATCAAGTTTAAGATCTTTGTGTTCCTCCAGTATTGTATACAGAAATGGTTTCAGGTAAGTGGAAAACTACAATCTATCTTTGACAGAATCCAACTCTGGCCTCAGTCCAGTAGGGTCCTGATCATCCTCAACTCCAGTTGACTTCATCAGCAAATGTGAGGGTACACAGGGTTGTGAAACAGGTTTGTAGGTCCAGATCCTGAAAGGTATTTAGGAACATAGCTCTCATTGATTTCCATGGAAGTTAGTAGCCTAAATACCGTTAATGATCTGGGCTATAGCCTCTTTCACTATTGGATACCTTTTATGAATGATAGAATAGCTTGTTCTGTCCATTGGGAATAGATAATGAAACTAAGTCACTTTGGAATTAACTAAATACTAAATTTCTGGGCTTAAGTGTATCACTCTTTGAATGGTTCATAAATGTTTCCTTTTATTACCAAGGTGATTCAGTCTATGTGCATAATGCATATATTCTTAATTTATACAGTACATTATATTACAGTAATTGCCAGTTGCCATCTAGACATATGTATGTTGGCACTACGGGCACTTTTCCTGTAATGCTGATACATTATTAAATTCAACCAGAATTCCTTTCATGTATCAACTTCATGTAATATTTGAAAAGATTTTGTATTGATTTTACAATTCTGGGATTCATCATTTTAATGTTTTTGCTGTGAAGAACTGTACAGTTACTGAATTATACATGGACAATTTGACATAGAATGTACTTCTTTATGAAGCATTTAATATCCTCTGAAAAGAATGGAGATCAAAGTAATATTGCTTATGATACCATTGCCATTTGCAGTCTTATCCATTTTTTGTTGATTTCAGTACACACAAAGGACCTGAATCACAGGTCCATGGAAATCTCACTGAGCTAATGGGGTACCATGCAGGGGTTCTTTACAGGGTCTGGCCCAATTCATTTAAACTGTACCATTACAATCGATGGGAGTTTTTCTATTGATTTCAATGAGCACAGGATGCATATGGAGAGGTGGTGAAAGGTAACTTGTATCTAATCGCTGGGATCTCAGTATTTACCCATTTGAAATCTTTTCCACCGAGACTGATGCTGAGTTGCTGTATGATGCTGTGGGTTAGAGACAGAACCCAGGTCAAGCAACTAGCTGTAATCCTCAGACGTGAGTCTTTGATAATATACTCTTAAAAAGTTTGGTGCCTGGTTCACTTTATGTTACAGAATCATTACTTAGGACTTGGTTAGTCGACTTTATTTGTGGGGTGCAAGGAGTAATACTAAGTGTCTAGCAAGGCATTCCTCCTTTCAACAATCTTTGTCCCATGCTACCATTATAGATCATTTTAAAAATCTCTAAATAAAAATCTATAAACTCTGTGACTGCACTGGGTTCTGCTGGCCACATATCAGCACAGAGTTTGCTCTGTTATCAATTTGTCTTCCCAAAACCTCTCATCAAACAGCTCTTAGATTTATTTTCCCCTGTCTTTTGCTAGCCTGTAATGATGCACAGTGATTTTGTGGCAAAAGCATCAGGTTGCAGTGTTGAATTACTCACTATGGAAAAGTATATTTCAGAAAATGAGAGGCACTCATTCATGTTATTTTCCATCAGTTTATTGTTTTGCCTTAGGATTGTAATATTATACAGTATACAAATTCAATGCAAGTTCCCTATGGTTCTGTCACAGCTTTAGTCTCTTGTATACACATTACTTTAGTTCCTGAGGGTCTTCCAGTATTCATTAAAACTAATTGTAAGGAAAATTGAAGTTTCTAGTTACTCATGAAAAAACACCAATAATATGTGACAGCAGAGATTCTAGGGTCCTGCATAGGACTGCAGGGATTGTCAGCAGAATAGCCCTAATGAAAGTGCTAGACTTCTGCTGACTCATCCTGTCAGGTGGGTCCTATTAGCTCCAGTCTAAGAGATCTGAGCCTTTAGTATGCCTTTTTCAGGAGGAGGGAACTATCTCCAGGGTAAGAGGGGTCTTACAGGGAAAATTCTAAAAAAGACCCCCAAACCCAGGAGGAAACTTAGGGTGAAGTTGCTGGTGGTGTTTGTTAAATGAAGACAAAACCCAGGAAGAGGATAAATTCAGACCATGAACAATATGTGTATATTCTGTTTGGAGCAGGGTAAGCATTCCATCTTCTTGCGCTAGGCTATCAGCTGCAGCTCATGTAACTGGCAGAAGTGTGAACCCAGAGCTTACTGTAGGGCATAACCATGAT